ACAAAGGATCCAGTTTATTTTCTTAACAATGGAGGGGGAAAAAGAACATTTTCATTCTAATCCAAAATTAATTTGGGCCTCAATTTGAATAGGTAATGTACATGTACTGATAGAAATTCTCATATACATTGCTGGAAAGGAATGGTCTTAACTCCCTGTAAATCCACAAATCTAGTAATGATTTTAATTATTAATTATCAGGTATAATTAAGGTAAAGTACGATAAAATATAAAGATACAATATGATTTTTTAAAACCCTGAGAGAATTGATTGGTGACAGACTGTTACCCAAAGAGTGGTAGGGTTTTAAAGCCATCTATCCAAAAATTTGACATTCAGAATCATGTCAAAAGGCAAACCAATCAAACATCCACCTCTTCACATCTACAAGTCATGCCATGTTTGACAGGGCGTAAAGCATTAAATGGTTATATACTTTCATGCCAACACACCAACAATACATAAGGTCAGCTGGAATCAGTACAGAATTAACACACAAGCTAGTGCTGATGATGCTTCAAACCACAAGCACACACCATTCCCCAGCTTTGGCTGGTTCATACCATAAGCCTTCAGATGCTTAGGTTTCTCTCGATCCAGAACAGCAGGTCTCAGCAATGGCGGAGTAAGTCCCCTTGATTTGGTAGGTCTCATGTATCCTTTCAAGGGTTCTGCCACTTTGCTTCTCACTTCTGTCTTTCCATCACCCAGTGCTCTCTGTCCAGATTTTTCTGTCAACTTCTGAGGTGCCTCTAAGATTGTATCTTTAGACTTTGGGGACTGAATAGGTGACAAACTATCTACAACAACTTCCAATGGAATAGTTTCTTCCTTAGTATCTGATATATCTGCTGTGAGATCTGAGGGCTCCAAGAGGCTACCTTCTTGGTCTATATTTTTACAACCAGAACTGAGTTTTTCCATTTGGGTTTTTTCCCATTCACCAGGCACAATAGTTATATCTACCTTGCCAGATGAACTTCCTACATCCTTGGAATCTAATCCTTGACTAGGCTTGTCCTCAAGAAAATCCCGTTTTTCACTTATATTGCCTGGCAAAACTGCATCTGTAACTAGGGCTTTCCCTTTCTCCATCTCTTTATCTATGGGCACTGGGAAAATGCTTCTATCTGCATTCTTTTTGTCCATGCTTTTGTCCTCCAATCCTAGACTTGCATCTTCAACTGGCATGTGAAGATGAACCTGTTCCTTTACTGGCTCTCCCTTCTTCTCCTGGGGCTGCTTGGCAGTATTATCGTCCACTAATCCCTGGAAATTGTTTTCTTTGACTTTCTCATCACCTTCTACCGTTACCTGTCTTCCATCCATCCATGCTTGATTTTGTAGAGGGTCATTATGCCCAGGTAAGCTGAATTTACCTTTTCTCTCAACACTGTGATTCTTTTGGTGTTCCTCTGTTTCTGTGGCTACTCTAACATCTGGAACAACTGCTACACTGGGAAAGGAATCAATGGGGGGACCCTTTCCTAGGCTACCTGCTCTTTCCTCACCCATAACTTTATCTTTTCTGGGGTCATTTAAGGATAGTAATTTAGAAACCTGTGCCTTGGAGGTCTCTTTCCCACTTTCTGCTACGGCATCTGGAAGAGAGACACTCATCTCTGCATCTGAGAAAAACGGGGAATGTGGTTGACCACAAACCTCTGATTCAGACAAAAGGGAAGTCTTGAGTGTGTCTGTCTCACTGGCCCAAATATTTGGTGGTTCTGAACAGCAATACGTAATATTTCTATTTTCATCCATACAGCTCATTCCCTCAACTTTAAATTCTGCTTTGGTTTCCACAGGAACCTGTACTCCAGTTGTACCTGGTTCACTCTCTAGGAGAGGCTGGGTATTTTTATCCTTTTTACTTTTCCCATCAATACCCCTTTTCTTTGGTTTGTCAGGCACTACAGCTTGAACCATAGTCATTTCTACCTTACCCTCCATACGCTGTCCTGAAGAGGGAGATCCCAAGGGAAGGGTCTGTTCATTGAAACTAACACTTGTTCTATTAGCATCCAAGACAGTGGAAGTAGAGTCCTTGGCTGTGTGCTTTGCGTTCTCAACAGATGTCTGGGGCTCAGAAGAACTAACCTCAGCAAATCTATCTTTTTCACCAACTGACTGCTTTCCAGATTTATCAGAAACTACTAAAAGCAAAGGATCAGAAATTTTGGAGGGAAGGAGTACAAACTCCTTGTTTTTATCAGAGAAATCAACCTGTTTGTCCTGATTTCCATTCTTGTCTGCAATGGGCAGGACATGTGCATCTATCTTGCTCTCCAACAAAGTAGACTGTCCAGAATAACTTTTTTTAAACTTTTTGTTTTTCCCATCACTACCTCTCTTTTTAGGTTTCTCAGTAACTTGGAGAGCTGCACCGGATTCAGGGGGACTTGCCAAGAGACATTCAGAAAGAGAAGACACTCCCTCCTTGCTCTGCTCAGCAATACCCTTTTCTGGACCTTTAGCCTTATGTTTTTCTACTACAGCTGCAAGAATTTCACCTGTGTCTATCTTATCATCCAAAGGACTTACTACTTTTGAGGTACTTTCAATGTCCACAATTGAGTCAACTTTCTCTCTAGTTTCCTCAGTCACAGTCTTAATGAGACTAGCCATGGTCTCTAAAACCTGATGGGAAGACACAGATTCTGTACCTTTATGCCCACTGTGGACACTCATCCCTTTCGTTTGGGCTATTTTTCTACTTGCCTCAAGATTTACAGCATCCTTCTGCTCTTCCAAAATGAATGGAGGCTCTCTATTCTCTCTCATTTTCCTTCCTTTACTATCATCAGTTTTCTCAGATCCTTCCAGCCCTTTATGAGGGACAGGACCAGGCTGTTCAGAAGCGAGGTGTCCCACTTCCAGGCTTTGCTCAGGAAGAGCTTTGTGTTCAGGTCTCTCGCTTACACTCAGTTCCACTTTATTCTTTAAAAGACTTGTTGATTTCAGTGCACACTGGTCAGCTATTTTGCTTTCACCAGCAATGTTCTTGAGACTATTTGCCAAAACACCTGCCTCTACTGCTGCCAATTCAGTCTGCTCTTGGGGTGTTACAGGTTTTGAAACCATATCCTTGGCTTCCTGATTCATGTCAGTAGTAAAGCCTCCATGGTGAGGTTTGGTCTCAAAAGGAGCTTCTTTTTGTTTGTTTGGAGAAACCTCTGGACGTGCTAGCTTCAAATCCAGCACTCCCCCCGGGTGCACTTTATCCAAAGCAGGCTCCAACTGAGATGCCAGCAGCACTGAAGCAGCATCTTCGCTTCTCCTTGGCTGTGGCTGACATTCAAGAGATGGAGCCTCCTTGCTCACTGGGCTCTTGCTGTGCGATGACAAGTCGACATCTTGGATCTCTTTGACTTTCGTGGTGCTCCTTTCTTCCTTTGTACTCCCTACAATCTGAGGATGGCTTTCACCTCTAAAGGACTCCTGGGCAGGACTCAGTGAGGTTCTCAAGCTCTCCAAGGCAGAGGATGCAGCCACAGGTTTGGCTTCTCTCGGGCGAGCTGTGGTTCCTTTTCTAGAGCTCTCTTTGGACACAGGCCTGTATTCTTTAGTCATGGCAGCAGACGGCCCCGGTGTAACACTTGGCTTTGATGAGTCAGCTCCAGTAAAATGAGCTTTGGATACCTCAGTGTTTTCATCCCAAGGTTCCCCAACAGGGGGTTGAAGATAGCGCTTTTGCTTAGATTTTTTCTTCTTTTTCTTCAGTGTTGCTGGCGTGCATTCTACATCCCACATCTCTCTTCCAAGGTCCCTTCGAGATTCCAGGAAATCAGTATGGGGTGTCCTCCTATGGGGAAACCTGGATCTGGGGGAGGAACCAGTCCATCCTGATTCTGACCAAAATAATGGCTCCAGTCTTTGATCAGTCATCTTCTGCTGAGAATGGCTTCCCACAAGCTCAGTGGGCACATCAATAAGAGATATGGGCTTGGGAATACCAAACCTGCGGTCACTGGGTTTGAAAACTTGTTTTGCTTGTGCAGTGGGGGCACCTGAAATATACGAAGTTTGCTAAAATTCGAAAAAAAGTGTTTGTTCTGTTTTTCTTAAATCATTTATTAATTTATTAATCCATTTTCACCAACCCATTTAGTAATTTCTTTACAAAAATGTTTTTCCCCAAGTTTTTTAAAGTTTATACCCCCATAACAATAATTAAATACGATCTTCACCTCTTCAACCCCATCAATGAATAATCTTAAGAACTGAGTGATGCTACCGCATTTTAAGAAGACATCAAAACTTAACATTTTTTTTTCCATTTTCTTCTCCTACAGAGGCCAAAATACCTGTACTTCCAAGCTAAGCAAAGCTAATGAACTAAACTTCGAAATTATGGTTAAGTCTAAATGCTCTCTTGGAGGAGCAGAGATAAACTAAAAAAAGAAGATGGAATACAGCTGCACGCAACTGCAAGAATAAAATAAAGCATAGAAAATATAGTATATTTTAGCAAAAAAAAAAACTGGGGGGAGAAGGGGTTCAGAGAATGCGAATTTTCACGTATTACTTTAAAAGCCTTTCTTAATAAATTAATCTTTAATCAACTCAGGAGTGACACATATTTCTCTCAGAACATATGTAACAAAAAGCTCAATGTAACACATTTTTGGAATGAAGAAGGAAAAGGCTGTGTTTTTTTTTTAATTTGGCAACAAGGTACTTTACTAATTTGGAAAAGTGGTATACTATGTGGTATACTTTCTCTGATAAAAGAATAGAAATGCCACAGCAGAGGTGTAGCTTGAAAGGTGATAAGGAATATACAGGGAGGAGAGCATTCAAATTTTTCTAAAGACAAGAAACTGGTTTGAGAAATTAAAGAAAATATTCACATGTCAAGTAACAGGCCTAATAAAAATTAAAACTTATACTAGAAAATGGTGTCCTGAAAAATCACAATATTCAAAGATGATGCTAGAACTGCAAGCAATGTTGTAAAAGACTCTGGGGAAGCTGGCCCAAATAGATATCACTTTACCTGTAGGCTTCAGAGGAGGCTCTGAAGATGAAACATGGCAGCACTCAGTCTCTCCCTTTGACTTTTCTAATTCAGTGAAATCAAGAGAAGGTATGGTTTCTTCCAGTGGGGATTCTTTAGTTTGGATTAATGGTGTTGTATTCAGTGTTTCTGCTAGAATAGGGAGATAGGAAAAAAATGGAAGATTTCAATCTTGATAATAAGAGAAGCACCATGACTTGGGAAAAAGAGCAGACACCAGGCTACCTGAACTTTATCCTCATTTCTGTCTCTGAATTTTGTTTCCTCCAAAATGCAGTCTTTTACAATGTAGACTGTAAATTTAAAGGCTTTCTTAATCCTCCTAGTTCCAAATGCTATCTCTACCAAAATAACTTGGTATTCGTTTTGTATATACGATTGTCTCCTCCAACAGCAAGTAAACTGCGTGGGCAGTGAGTTTCACTTATACCCTTGGATCCCCCCAACACTTACCACATTACCTGGCACAAAGAAGATGCTTAATAAATGCGTGTTGATGGACTGATTGCAAGAGTAATCAATGCAAAAAAAAAAAATCCTCAAACCTTAACATATAAATTTGAAGATTTCCTTAATTACCTGACAAACTAAGAGCTAGTTGTCCCACAAAAAGTCATATTAAACTAATCCATTCTAAGTTTCACAACAAAATTTTTAAAAATGAAACAGAAGACTGTAACTGGGATTCTGTTTGTCTTTGGTTTGGGTGAATTTTTATTTAATTAAAAAAAAAAAATAGGCAGTAGAGAGGAGGTAATCTCATTTGGGAGTTCCCTATACCAATGAAATCACAGGTCTAGTGCCCACAACCTATCCCTTCAAAAATTCCATGTCTTTTTTGCTCATGTCCCACCCCATGCCCTACACTGAATGGTCTCCTTCCCCTCACCAGTGCTCGTTAGCATCTTCTAAAATCTATTTCAAGGCCTACTTTAGGCCTTCTCTGCCTCCTACCCTTCCACAATACAAAAATGATCACTCTATTCTCATATAATGCACAGCACTTTTGCCTGGACCTATCTTCTACACTTATATAACACTCTCTCTTCTCACTTTCCTAGTCAAATTATTCCCCTCTTCTACTACATTATGAGCTCCATGAAAGCAAGGTACATGCTGGATATATCTTTCTATTCCTAGCACCAATCATTCCTTGAACACAGCACAGCTTTACTAAATGTACACTGAATTCTGTTTCTGCTTACCTATAATCTCTGGAGAAGTTAGCAGGGCTTTAATCTCTTCCAGTTTCTCTAAAGCTTTATCTTCTGCAGGAACTGAGGTTTCTGGTAAGTATACTTTTTGTTCTATGACTGCAACTTGTTCTAAAGGTACTGCATAAACCATAAAAGTTAAAAAAAATAATTTTAATTAATTTTCTATGAGTGAAAAAGAGTTAATAAATCTTTTACGTCACACAACTATGCCCAACATATTCCTCTCATAGCAAATTTTCTCACTCTATCTTGATAAAATATTTTCCTCACATTGTTAGGCATTGTATTAGAAAGACAAGCTAAATTAACATTGATATTTTAATTTGGTATTTATTTTCCAAAAGTCCACATACTTGATATGAACCCTGAAACATTTCAGAGCTCAAAATTTATTTGTCAAATTTCTTTTCTCTAGAGATGAAGCCTATGTTTGGAGTCCTATCTAGCTCTTACGGAATGATGATCAAATGCTACCATCTAAGGACTTGTTTGTTTTCCTACTGAAAGGTTGAGAGCAAAGAAATTTTTTCATGCTTTACTAGGAATCCCCCTCGGCAAATTAAGGATTCTCAACCAGCATATTCATTTGTTTGCTTTATGCTCTTGCAAGTTTATGACCAGAGAAAAAACCTATTTAATATACAGACTCAATCACCATTTTTGTGGAATTCCTAAACAGGCTAACTACATATTTGGAAATTTAAGCATATTCAGCAGGATCAGATTAAGTTATTCAAATCAAAACATCTTACCCTCACAACCCTCTGCAGGGTATGACAATCTTCCTATATGCTCCAGATATGCCCAAATAAAAAATTCTAAGATTGTTCCATCTTTTCCAGCAAGAAGTAAAAATCATTATCATTTTCAAAATGTACCTACCACTCTCATCCATTTCACGGCCTTTTTTAAAAGCAAGATGACATGAGGAACCTTTCCCCTTACCTTCAGTAGGTAAAGTTGGGGAATTCTCAGGACAAGGTTTAAAAGGATTCACTTCAGCCACAGGAACAGGAGCTGCAAAAGTCAAATGAAACAATGTCATCAAAATCTTCAAAACATTAATCTGCGCACATGCTTATACGTACCTATATTACATAAAAAATAACACTTCAAAAGAAACAAAATAATGAGAAGAAATCTTGATTAGAAAGTTAGGCAATTTAAATCCTACTCATTCTACTGCTGTTTTACAGCTCAGGATGAGTTAGGTTCTCACTGACATAATGATGTTTGCTGCATTTCCATTTTATGAGGATAAACATCTTAATCCTCTATTTAAACTTCAATATCTCTCTAGATCCTCTAGGATATAATATAAACTACACTGTTTGCCCTGGATTTGACCTGGATCGAACATACCATTTCAACCTTGTGACCCGTTGCTTCCCTTCAAAACACACACACTCTGTCACTCTGTCTCTCTTTCTCTAGTTTAGGCTTTAACTGACCTTGTTATTGACACAGTATTCCATCCCTGTTCCCTATGACACTGTATAAGCTGCTCCCTCCCCCGGCACACAATCGTGCCTCATCTCTGCTTGTCTACGATCTTTACTTTTCTCCAAAGTTCAACAACAAACTTAAGAACCAATACCCACATTGGACCTTTTCATCATAATACCTTGCTTTTACCACCGTGACCCCAACACAGCTAGTGCCTCCCCTCAAAAAAATTACTTTGTATTTGTTTTGTGTACATGTATATGTGTATGGTCCTCTGAAGTGGACTATAAGCTGCTTGAATGGAAGGGCTGTTTTATGGTACTTGTATCCCCAGCACCAAGAAGACTGCCTACAGCATATGGTACAGACTTGATAAATACCACTTTATTTCTTGATAAGTCATATGCCACAGTCAAAAAAGCACTGTATATGGTAACTGTATTGATGTAGATGCAATGGGTTTGTCACTGAAGGTCTGGTGAGCAAAGGAATGATACAGTCAAATTTGTGTTTAAAAAAACTATCACTTTGGTGGAATAAGGAGGATAGACTGGCCTAAGAGATAACATCAGACAAGAAGACCACAATGATGAAGCCACAGAAGTACTTTAGTTAAAAATGTTAAGTTAAAAATGGCCTGAAGTGGTCTAATGGTCATCATATAAATGGAGAGAAGGAGATGACTGTAGAGATGAAGTACAGGTAGAATTCAAATGGCTTGGCAACTAACTGGCTATGTAGATGAGTGAAGAGTCAAAAAGGATATCAGAGTCACACATCTGTTTAACTGGCAGCCTTTTCTGACTTCTCAGGCTCAAAATGATCTTTCTCCTCTCTGTACTCCTACTGTATTAACAACTTTATCGTGCAATTAATCACGTACTGCAAGACCACCTTCACTTTCTCTCTTCTCACTCTCTTATTAACCCTGTACAATCCGGCTTTTGACGTTATCATTAGATCAAAATTACTCTCTCTAAAGTTACCAATAATCTCATTAAGATCAAGTTTTCTGAGGCAGCTAGGTGGCGCAGTGGATAAAGCACTGGCCCTGGAGTCAGGAGGACAGAATTCAGATCTGGCCTCAGACACTTGACACTTACTAGGTGTGTGACCCTGGGCAAGTCACTTAACTCCACTGCCTAGTCAAAAAAAAAAATCATGTCTGCTAATTAGATGTGTCTCTCAGGGTTCTATCTGGACTGACCTGACTGCTGTCTCTCTAATTTCATTTGGTGATCTCATCAGCTCTCATAGATTTACCATTTCTATGCTAATGATTCTCCAAATCTACTTCTCCTGTCCCAACTTCACTGCTGACCTCTGAACTTGTATCTCCAACTGACTTTCAGATATCCCAAAATGGATGTCAGTCTTGATCTCTAAAGAGTTGTCCACTTGAGATTATACCACATAGATTTTAGTAGCCAAGAGAGCAGTTTATTGACTTTGTCCAGCTCTGTTCAATAGGAAATAAATAGGGATTGAAGGAGATGGATGACAGAATTAATCCAAGGTTGGGGTTTGGCAAAACAATGGAGTTTAATTAAGAATAAGACAAGGGCACAATGAACTAACTGGTTCATCAAATAGTTAAGATTGTAAAGAGAGGAGAAAACATACTGCCAATGTTGGTGGGTGATGGCTGGTGAAAAAACTGAGGTCTGGAAGGACTAGAAGTCATAGTAAGGATGAAGAACAGAGTTAGAGGTAATAATGCTTAGGGAAAGATGGTATGTTAAAAGATTATAATCAGACAAAAGAACTTTAGAGTTCATGAACATGGAAGTAGAACACTCATGAGATAATGTATGTAAAGTACTATGGAAACTTTAAAGCCCTATATAAATGTTAGCAGTTAACAAAACAACAGCAACAATAATAAATAACAAGATCAAATGTATGGCCATCTCAGTGCTCAGCTAGGTAGAATGGAAAAATAGGTTATGGTTAAATAGAAAGTTGGAGTATTTGAGGTACTCTACATACACACACACACACACACACACACACACACACATATAAATGTATATATACAAACACCCCATTATGATGGCAGGAGTTGGGGGTAGAGAAAGTACAAGCCTTGCAGAGTACACACTCAACAAATACATGCTAAAAGAACTAAGAGCACAACTGTGAAGGCTTATTATTTGGCACAGACTGGAACACTGAATGGAAAGTATTCACATACCAAGGTTTTATAAACCTTCATGTTTCTTCAAGTTTCTTTTTTAAGGCAATCAGGGTTAACTGAGATTGCCCAGGGTCACACAACTAATAAGTGTCTGAGGCCAGATTTGAATTCTCTTCATGTTTCTTACCTCAATCTTACCACTGGAATTCTTGAACCTTTAGATCGAGCTTACTAAGTCTTTCTCTAAAAAAAGCATGCTAATGGATTGGTTTTACCTCTAGAAATAATAAAATACCAATGAATGTGAATCCAAACCCATCCAGGAACTACTAATTATGGTAATTAAAATGGTTTGCATATAGATTCTAAGACTGCTGAAGGAAGAAGCCTGGATACTCTGTAAAAATGTCATCCCATTAAGAATTCAAATGGAGAAGAATGAGGTCTATTGAAATTTACCAACTCCAGAACGAAAAAAAATGATAGCTGTGTTTCAACTTGGGCCACTAGGGATACTATAGCCTGTTAGGAGGGGCCATTAGCCCACTTATATAATAAGAAAAAGTTTTTTTCCCATAGTAACTTTTGAAAGAAACAACAGCTTTCAATTCATCTAATTTAAGATTATCTAAAAAGCACCTAGAAAAAACTTGAGTATGATTTGTGCTACAATCCATATTCTGGAAACAAAATAGCACATGTAATATAAGTTTTCAGTTGGGCATATATTTTGTTGTTTTTAATAATGTTCAACAAAATTTTATACACAAGTAGAAGTTAGAAGGAAACGTGACTTACAGGGAAGAAAATTCACTCTGCCACCTCGAAACAAAATGCTAACAGTGATCACGGCATTTTATTTAAGCCTGGTTTTTATGCTATCTTTATTTTAAAATTACATTTACCTTACTTTATCTAACTCACATATCCTGAGAGTCTGAGAGCTGGAAAACTCCAAGACTACTTAGCTACCAAAGAAGCATGGCTCCTACATACCTGTGAGAGTTTAGATTAAGTCACTTAACAGCCCTGGCCTCCAGTTCCATCATTTATAAAATAAGAGGGGGTCAGATTGATGGCTTCTGAGGTCCCTTCCAACTCTAAGTCTCTGATCTTTTTATCCAGGTCCAAACATGACAGAGCTGTTTAATTTTTCTCTTTGTCCCTAATTTTGCAGTACAGCACAAGGTCAGGAGAATTGGAATTAGCATCCATAGGCTTTAATGCTGAAGAAAACCTTAGAGATGCAGTTCAATCTCCTTATTTGCAGGAAAGAAAAATCAAAGTGAACTATCCAATGTCACACAGCTTCTAACTAATAGATTTAGTAAACAGCTAATAAGCAAAGAGTCAAGCTCATCATGCCTTAGGGACTCCAAATTTAGTGCTCCTATGTCTATACCACAAGATTTCTAAAGCTGGTCCCCCTTTAAGTCCTGCACTTACCTGCTTGTCCAAAATGATCCATATCAGCCACTTTGGTATCTGTTCTTGGTTCTGTATTAGGAGAAACAACTCCCTGAAGTTTTTGTTCTTGAAGTGGTTGCAAACCGTCCATGCCAGGTATCTTAAGGGACTCTGAATATAGAGCAATAAGAAATTCAGTTGATTCACTGTGGAAGCATCATGTGAAAGAGCCATATGGATATTCAACAAGGGAAACCAGAATGTCATTTACATACATAGCCATTCTCTTCACTACAAGAACACTGAGCACATACTAGCTTTCAAAAAATCATCAGGAGGGAATTTGCTTCTATCTTTCTTCTTTGGCAATCATTAACGTTTAATGAATGCAAATGGTATGTTCAGTACCCACTGTTAATTATATTTCTATGAATTTTTCTTGTCTCCATCTAGATTATAATCACAACTTTGAAATAAGATTGTATTTTATATTCTTTTCATCCTAGTCAACCAGCAGTAGGACCTCAATAAACGTTTGTTAACAAAGTATATTTAATGCTCAATGTTTTTTGCACAAGGCTTTATTAGCGTGTGTTAACTAACATTCCTAGCAATGTCAATGAAGTATTATCTGAATTAAAGCAAAGGGAATTTAAGGGAATTTTGCTGAACAGTAACCCATTGTCAAGATTAAAATTCGTAGATCTAAGGTTTCAAAAGTATTACCAACTTCATTCAAGCAACAGGCCCTTAGGTCTCTAAATTATAACATGAGGATCAACACGCCTGCTACAAAGGTGATTATTCATTTCAGCGTTGCTTCAAAATCAAATACTACTACTTGTATACCTGCTTCTTCCTGGTGGAAGAATGAATTGTACTAATGGATTTGTTCTCCAAGTAATTACTCTGCCAACACAAACAGGGAAGTACAGACTTTTTTACAATGTCAAAACAGCACTTTCCCAGAAAGGTAAACAAAACTAAGGAATCTGTGACATCTACAAAGCTGCTTGGAAGATCAAGACAGTGCTTAAAATGAAAAATCTCTTTCCCTTCTCCCTCCGAAATAAAAGTGAGCCTCAAAAAGTAAAACAGAGGGAAGTTTAAACCTAAAATGTTTCCAAATTTCTGCGGCCAAAAACATCAGACAAGCAAATGGTATAGAAAATAGGAAAACCTAACAAACCAGGAATGAGGAAAAGACTAAAGACAACATATACATCTACTACCTCTATAGGGCAATATACTGACAGTCAATCAAGCAGGTCACAAAGACAGCTGGAATCAGGTGCTAAAAGCCCCAAACTTTGATTATTCAGAATACACACTGTATTTCAGGAAGATTTCTGCACACCAGCCAATTTCACAGCCCCCTATTAAGAAGCAAATTTCTTCACTTTACTGATGGCATCCACTATATGGAGAAAAAAAGACTGACCTTGTTCAAGATTTTAAAGGAAGCTCCCTAGATCTGGGGCGTCCTTTCAAACCTAAGTGATTTCCAAATTCTCACATCCAAACCAATCAGATTTTTGCTAAGGAAAGAAGACTGAATTTGATCATAATTCCATCCGTGAATGTTTACCAGAGTTAATGCGAGAATAGTCACTACCCAATGGCAAATTTTCATTATCTCTACAGCTACCACAAGGCTCTCCAATACTAATCAGAAGGCCTAACAAAAGCTTTACATTCTAATAGTATTTAGGAGTCATGAAGCTACAGTTCATGACTTAGCTATCTATTTCTTCTAAAAGGAAAACAGAAAAAGCTCAAAGTCTGAATGTGGTTCAGGGCTTCACTATTTCAAAAAATTGGACATCTGAACTCCTCATTCTAAAGCTTCGGCGCTTTATAAGGCCTACTTAAACTGAAGATGAGTCTTATCAAATAAAAACACCTTCCAGGTCTCTGATGCATAAAAAGCATTTAGCAAAGGCTCCTTCATATTTAGAAAAGCTTAATGAGGTCATGTCCTTCCACACTGACTTTCTCATCAATCATGGAAAGGAACTCTACCTTTAAAGGGAATAACTATATAATTTCTGGTTTAATTTTGGAGTATTTATTTTTTAAAAACTTTACTGAATCCCAACAAGAATATTTATACCCATATGTTGTTTTTTTTTTTAAATACGGAAACCAACCAAAAAAAAAAACAAAACCCAAGGTCTTAGTCTCTTGTTGTGTTCTCAGCTGCTTAATCTCCAGCCTTTGGAGGAAAGAGGAGTTGTGAAGTGTGCCTCCCATCTTATACTACACCTGTCTCCAGACCAATCTCCAGCCTTTTATGAAGAGTGCAGCTTCCATTAAATAAGAAATATTCTCACACTTGGTCAAATCATGCAAATCCCAATGATTCTGAACCCTGAACCTCAAGTTAACCACTTCCTGTGAGAATCTCAGTAGCTCCTATGGATTTAATTACTATCTCTACACTGATGATTCTCAAACCAACCTTTCCTTGCCCAACCTCTCTGTTAACCTCCAATCTCACATCTCCAACTACCTTTCAGATATCTCAAACCAGATGTCCAGTAACCATTTGTCATACAAATCCTATTCCCCACACCTCACCAAAATGATTCCTTATCTCCACCCCTCTCAACCCTCCCATCTCAAAGTTCCAAACACCACCCACCCCTTTCGGTGTGCCATCTGGAATGCCTGTTCTATGGGCAACAAACTTCCTAAATCTAAATCTTTTCCTCTCCCTCTACTAGCATGTACCAGCTATTACTGAAACTTGGCTTCTTTTGATAATCTTCCTGGCTACTCTTTCCAGTATGGTAACACATTCACTCACTTCAGTCTGCTCACTGACCAAGGCAAGGGAGATGGATTACTCCTTACTCATCACTTCCGATTTTAGGTGTTCTCTCTATGACCATCACTCAGTAACCTCTCCTCTTTAGAAGTTCATGCTATTCATATCTACTACATATCTATTACCACATAAAAATCCTAGTATCTCTTGGCCCTCACCCACAAATGTACCATTCTCTATGTTCAAGAATTCCAAAATCCCCCCATTTGACCATAATCTGTTGGCTTTTCACCTCTCTTCCTGACTTCCCTTAACAAACACCACGATGTCCACAGCATGAAATCCAATCGCTTGATGACCCCTAAAGTCTTTCCAAGGCCATCTCCCCCACACTAGTCATGCTCTCCTCTTTTCTCCGTCTTGACCTATTGGTCAATTCATCAAGATAGCTCTCCTTGTCTTAGTCTCTATCTCCCTATCATTTTACTCATTGCACCCTGCTCAGCCTCAGCCTTAGATCACCCCCACCATTCACTGTCTTTTATCCTACACATGTGCTCCTGAACAAAAGTAGAAAAAGTAACACAAATGATCTGACTGAATCCACTACAAATTTATGTTAAATCACCTCAAGTGGGACTTCACTGATAAGCAGTCTTATTATGTTTGTCTTGTCTGTCTGTCTGTCTCCCCACCCCAACACACAGAGGATCTTCCATATCATTCAAGCTCCTCAAGCCTCCTATGACTTCCCTCTCCGACTCTCTCAGTTGAGAAACCTGTCTCATATTTCCTAGAAAAAACTGAGAACATTTGGGGTCAGGTCCCTCTTCTCCTCTTCCTCATCTCATATCGCTCAAATGCCTTCTGCCATTCTCTCCTCCTTCACTCCTGTCTTATATGAGAAATTGCTCAACTTGCTCAAATGATTCAATTCCTATCTCCTCCAACAGACTGTCTCTAATGTTAATCAATCATTTATTTTCAGTCTCTCCCTGTCTACAAGCTGCTATGGACTCCCAAAATGTTCATACCTCCCCCATCCTCAAAATTCCTCATTTGAACCTTCTATCACCCCTAATTATTGTCCTTTATCTCTTCTGCTCTTTGTGGCCAAACTCCTTGAAACAGTTTTTATAATAGGTGCCTCCACCTTCTCTCCTCTCATTCTCTTCTTAATCTCTTATAATCTGTTTTCCAACATCATCATTCCCCTGAAACTCATCTTTCCAAAGCTACCAATGATCTGTAAATTGCCAAACACACTGACCTTTTCGCTATCCTTTTTCTCCCTGAATTCCGCAGTGTTTGACACTGCTAATCACTGAAACTCTTTTCTCTCTAGGTTTTTGGGACACCACTCTCTCCTGATTGTCCTCTTTCTTACCGGTCTTTTTCAGTCTCCTTTTTCTGGATTCCTCAGCCAGATCATGCCCTCTAACTGTAGGTTTAACACAGGGCCCCTGTCTTCTCTCTCAAGTAAACCACTTCCTGTGAGAATCTCAGTAGCTCTTATGGATTTAATTACTATCTCTATATTGATGATTCTCAAATCATCCATTCCTTGCCCAACCTCTCTGCTAATCTCCAATCTCACATCTCTAAGTGCCTTTCAGATATCTCAAACTGGATGTCCAGTAAACATCTTAAACTCAACATACAAAAAAAAAAAAAATACCTCATTATCTTTACCGTAAACCCTTCCCTACCCCCTACCTTCCTCATGAGTGGAGCATCATCCTCTCAATCCCTCAGGTTTACAACCTAGGAGTCATCCTAGATTCCTGACCACCTCTCATGCTTCCATGTTCCAAGGTCTGTCAATTTCACCTTTTCAACATCTCTCAAATATACCCCCTTCTCTCCTCTGACACGGCGATAACCCTGGTGCAGACCCTTCATCATCTCATACCTGGATTACTGTAATAGGTGGCTGGTGGAGCTACATGCCTCAAGTTTCTCCCCACTCCAATCTATCCTCCATTCAGTCATAAAAGTGATTTTCCTAAAGCACATGTCTGATCATGTCATTCCCTCTACTCAATAAACTCCAGTGGATCCCAACTGACTCGAGGATGAAATACAAAATGATCTGTTCCACATTCAAGTCTTTTATAACCTAACCCCCTACATTTCCAGACTTCTTAAACCTGACTCCCCAACACATATTCTTTCGTCCAGTGACACTGGCCTCCCTTCTCTTCCATGAACAAGACACTTCATCTTCAGCTTCAGGCATTCTTTCTGGCTATCTCCAATGCCTGGAATTCTCCCTCCTCCACTCCAAATAATGACCTCCTTGGTTTTCTTTAAATCCCAACTAAAATCCCACCTTCTACAAGAACACTTCCCTAACTCCTTCTTCTAGTGCCTTCTCTCTGCTATATATTTCCTGTTTATCCTGTACATAACTTTTTTCTGTGCATATTTGCATGTTATCTTCCCCATGAGGCTGTGAGCTCCTAGACAGCAGGGACTGTCTTTTGCTTCTTTTTGCATCCCCAGCACTCAGCACAGTAACTGGTACATAACAGGCATCTAATGAGTGTTTACTGGTTGATTTTTTTTTTTTGTAAGGCAATTGGGGTTAAGTGACTTGCCCAGAGTCACATAACTAATGTTATATGTCTGAGGCTGGATTTGAACTCAGGTCCTCCTGACTCCAGGGTCAGTGCTCTATCCACTGTGCCACCTAGCGGCCCCCTACTGATTGATTTTCAATCTACTTTTCTTTTGACTCACTTCTAGCTCCATAAAGTCATATTTATTTCTGGAGAACAATGACAGAATAAGAAAATTTCTAATTCCATATCTAATCTCCATATTTCAGAGAAAAATCAAAGATTAAAACTTTCCAATCTCCACTAGAAGCTACTTCACTGCCTAAAAGAGGAAGAGGAAAATAACTAGCCACAGCCATTTCACATACAAGGAAAGAATAAGATCATTCTTAATTCTACCTCATGTGCTTTTCCTCTCTTCTTCCAGTTCTAATTCTATATACTCTGTGACTAAACTAACTTTACAATCCAGGGGTAGAAGCTCTGGCTAATTCTTCAAACTGTATCTCAACAGACAAAAAAAAATGTGTGTGTGTGTGTGTGTGTACACACACACACACACACACACACATGTATATATCAAATGCTAGAGAAATCACATCCACTCTACCTGGTGAGGCCATGAAAGCCAGACTCCCTTCTGCCTGAGGAGATGCCAGTCTCTGAGCTTCACTTGTTTTCTCTACTTTCACCTCCTTGGCTGGTGTTGTTACAATGTCTATTTCCTGGGTCAGTGTCAATTCCATGGCCGGTGCCTGCTGGGCTCCTTTGGTTGGTTCCACCTCCACAGCTGGCATCTTCACCACCTCAACAGCTGGTGCCACCTGGGGTTCCTTGGTCGGTATCACCTTGGTCTCCTTGGCCAGTTCCACATCCACAGATGGTACCTCTTGGGTCTGTTGAGTTGATGCCATCTCTGTGGCTAGTTCTGCCCGAGTCTCTCTGTCTGGTGCTACCTCTGAAGTTGATTCATCCTCCACCTCCTTGACTGATGCTACCTCCATAGCTGGTTCATCTTCTATCTCTTCCCTGACAGATGCCACCTCGATAGCTCGTTCATCCTCAGTCTCTTCCTTCACTGATGGTACCTCCACAGCTGGTTCACTCTTCACTTCTTTGACTGGCGCCATGTCCATTGTTGGTACCTTCTCCACTTCTGTGGATGGTGCCAGGGTCATTTCCACCTCCTTCATTGATGGTGCCTCTTTAGTAAATTCCACCTCCATCTGTACCTCCTTGATTGGCTCTAAGTTTTAAAAAAAAAAGTTCAGATGCATAATTAGCTATCATGGAAGTAGTGAGCTTCAAAACTAATCTTTTCAAGGAACAGAATACTTTTTCTCATGGGTAGGTAATCTCATAGTTAAATTAACTAAGCTTATCAGTTAAATCAATCTTGCCTATTCTCTCACAGCTCCTAAAAGTGGTTATCAAAACAAAACAGGAAAGAGATAGTTATTGAAATTAATAAAAAACTAGAAGGGTCAGAGTCTCTGGGAGTCATCCTTTCCTCTGTCAGAGGAAATAAAACTACCCAGAATTTGAAACCTGTATATAATTGTGGATTATTTGTCCTTCTACTTTAAGGAAAGATGCTTAACATAATTCCTCCAGATAGAATATTAGTAAAATAAGCTCAAAACACAAGAAGTGGAGTTTTGAGATTTTGGGAGTTTTTTTTGTTTTTAAATTTAAAGGTGGTACTTTATCAAGGGATAGTTACCAGTAATTACTTTAAGTAGCAACAATAATGAACATTAACAGCCATTAAGTTAATGTAGGAAAGACCCGCCAAATCACCTGCTGTGGGTTGTAGAGGCTGAGGGTCAGACTCTTCCAGGAAGACAAAGGGTGATGGGTCAGAAGGAACCTGGGCTTCCATAGTCCATCCTCCTGATCCTGTCTCAGTTCTAGAAACATATGAATCATAGGAGGGCACATCTGCTGTTCAAACAGAGAAATACAGGCCTTTTAAATTTCATTCACACTTTAATGAAAGCCACTTTTACTTTTAATCTAATCATGCAAAGTGGTATGAAACACATGCCAAAGGCTTAAAGATATTCACAACAGAGACAAGTATATATTAAAGTGAAAGCTGTCAAGATGCTCCCTAAAATTGTACTACTTAGGCTACTGCCAACTGTTGGAATAGAATACAGTATCATTATAGAACTATAAAGTGTGGGAAAGGAATGAGAGAATCATTGTGGAAAAGGGTTTATGGGCCCACTGACTTCTTAAAATCTAACGGCAAAGCTCACAATTAGCCATTTCCATCAAGTAAACATGTACTTATTGTGGGACTAATATGCACCAAACATTGCTCCAGATGCAGTGAAGAATAAAAATACAGTCCCTGCTCTGAAGGAGCACATGGTCCAGTGTGGAGAGGCGAGTCATTCAGTGAGTCAATCAGCAACTGCAGTAGGGAGCTCTCTCTCCTTTCAATGAGCTTACTTTTTCATGGGAGGAGACAACAAATACAAAAAAAAAATGTGGCATAAATGTAAAGATAATAAACTCAAATATATACAAAGCAGTTAAACAGAAGAACTATGACAGAGCACCTGCAAATGGCAGGAAGAGTCAGGATAAGCTTTATGTACAAGATGATTGCTGAGCTACATCTTAAAGGAAGAGAGGTCCTTTACGTGGCAGAAAGTGTGCAGCTGAATGATGGAGAAAGTAGGTGCTATCTGAGTTCAGGGCATAACAGAAAAGGCCAGCAGAATCACAGCAGGCCTCACAGAACAGACAGAACTTAAATTCATCCCTAAAGGGGTGTGGAGAATTGAACAAGGGTGTACTTGATGGGGGAAGAGGATATTCTGAGTAAGTTAGGGCATAAAGCAAGAAGTGAGTATGACACCTTCATAGAAGAGTGAGGAAACGGTCCTGAAAGACGATGGCAAACCCTCAAAATCAAACAGGGGAGCTCTAACTTGATAGGGTAGAACAGAGGAGCCCTTGAAGTTTCCTCATGCAGGAAGGTAAAATGATGAAAGAAATACTTTAGGAATGCGACTCTGGCGATAGAATACAGATCTGACGTAAGAAAAAATGCAACAGAGACAGGAAGGTCAGACAACTTGGATTAATCAATCAATACTTATTAAGGGCCTACTATGTGCCAGGCACTGTGTTTCACCTTGGGGATGCAAAAAGAGACAACAGATAGCCCCTGACCTCAAGGAGCTTATAATCTAACAGGGGAGACAACATGTAAACAAATACATACAAAACAAACTATATACAAGATAAACAGGGAATAACTAAAAGAGGCAAGGTACTGGAATTAAGAGGGGTTAGGGACGGTTTCCTGTAGACGCTGGGATTTTAGTTGGGCCTTAAAGGAAGACAGGGAGGTCACTAGTCAGAGCTGAGGGACAGTGTTCCAGATATGGGGGAAAGCCAGAGAAAATGGGCACAGCAGAGACACGGAATATCTTTTTCATATAACAGCCAGGAGGGCACTGGATCAAAGAGTCTATGTGGTAGAGTAAGGTATAAGAAGACTGGAAAGGTAAGAGAAGGCTAGGTTATGACCAAATTTGAGAGAAAGGGACAACTATAATATAGTTCAAAGGGACAATCACCTGATTTAATTGCTGATATGACAAGGTGCAACAGAACAAGATGAAGTTTACTTCAATATTTTGAAGCTGAGTTAACAGAAGAGTTATAATAACCAAACTGAGTTAAGTCTACTCTAACTGATCAGATATATGAAGGCCCTATATGATTAGATCCCCTAGAGTCCTTTAGTCCTATGGAAAGTTTAAACAGGAAACAAGATGTATATGCATATTAGTCTTTATAAAGACAGTCAAAGAGGCATCAGAATTAAGAATTATTGGTTATAAGTATCCTGACTATAATGATATTAAATCAATACTAGACTACTGGAAGGATACACATACACATGAGGAACAAAGAAAAGAAGGGGAAGCAATGTAGTCCTTCAGTTAGATTAATAGAAATTAGCCTTAGTCTAACTACATGGAACACAGAGAAAACAGCTAATAAATTTAGAATCCATCAAGACTTGTTGAGTCCCTTATTATGTACTAGTGGCTGACGGAGACATAGAAATGAGTAAGAAAGGGAAGGGGAAGTGAGCTGGGGGAAAATATAGTGATTTAAGATATCAATGAAAAATTTATTTAAAAAAAATTGGAGGAGAGCAATGAAAGAATTAGAAGACAATGACTACAATGGCAACATTTAAGGCTAAGAAAACTATAATAAACAGAAGAGTAATCAGAAGGGGACAAAACCAAATAAGTTGTTAGCGTTACTTTGTTAAAGTTAATGTTTCTTAAAATATCAAAACAGAAACCATAGTTTATAGTTTTATTTAAATTTGATTCCTAATTTTATCTGCATTTAAGATTGTTAATAAGTTTAAAATAAAATTTTTGTAAAAGTGATTTCTTGTTCCTCAAATTTCTAATTCAATCTTGCCCCCACCATGCCTACAATATGTCATGTCATCTCCTCAATTAGATTATTAGCTAAGGACAGAGACTGTATTGTTTTGTCATCCTTGTATCCTGGAATCTGGCACAATACTTTACATGTGGTAGCTTCTCAATCAACGTTTGTTGGATATTTAAGAATTCATATTAAAAATTTAATAGAAATGGAGAAACTATACCAATATTATCTTTTGAAGAATCAACGTGCTCTGCAAATGGCGAGCTGTTCACCATTCCAGGAGAGACAAACAGCAAATCCGATAAGATTTGACCTTGGTACATCTGATAAGGATCTGAAACATGGAACAAAAGCCAAGATTTATAAGTAGATAACACTTTTAAGATCAAAACAGACATTCTATTCTCCTAAAAGATGGTACTTATCATCTATTTTTGATGGTCGCCCATCAAATTCACCCATCAAAATAAAATTCAACAAAAAATTCATGCTGTCCAGGAGCTGATAATCTAAATCACAGTAATGACAGTTAATGATAACGATATGAATGACATATCATTTTAAATACTTCATTTCAAAACTATGAACAAAATCATCGCTAAATTTATATTGTATAAACTATGAACACTATATATTCTGGAAAGATAATGAGAATATGTAGAAGTTACTATCTGGACGGTTAAAGTATGAAGGAGAGAGGAAGAGAAAAATCTGATTTCCCTAGTGCAGGGAAGCACCAATGCAGACCCACTACCAACATAGATCAGCAATTCTCAAGATCTTAGACAGTCAGTTGCCTAGGGCACTAAGAGATTAAGGGACTCATTCTTGGTCACACAGTAGTATGTGTCAGAGGCAGGACTTGAATCCAGGACCTCTGTGCTCCAAGGCCAATTTTATATCCACTAATCCAATTGCTCCTTAATGTATACATGAAAGGCAAATAATGGCTATGAAAAACAAAAATTCATTTCAGTAATTGTGTGCCCCATATACATTTAGATCAACAGGTTGACATCCAGTTTTAAAATTCACAAGGAGGTAACATAATAAATACAATAAATACATTAATTAATAATAACTTTTTATCAAGCATTATTGTGGCTTCTGGTATTAAAGACTTGTATCCTAGAAGACAGACAATTAAAGAAGAAATTATCTAATCACTACCATATTATAAAGAAAGTAGAATCTCAACAACAATTTAGAATGAAAGGAGAGCGAACAACTGATATTCTTAAAGTAAGAAAGCATTCTAAACTTAGGGGAATGTAGCAAGTAAGGGGATAGAGTGAGTAATGGTATGGAGTTCTTGCTGCCAGCATTACCAGATAGTCTTATGCCAGATTACATCAAAATGTAATGTGATGTACCATGCCAGTCAAGCAGATCAAGAAAAACGCCCACATCAAAGGACAGCTTTGTGAAGCGAGAGACCGGACTTGTTACCAAAGTTCTTATGCCCACAGAATGGCAACAACTACCTAAAGCCAAGAAATAGCAGCTAGACTATGCTCTCTTCGATTTTTCAGAGGCAGTACAAGCCATTCCATCAAGTTGGGAGTAACAACAGATGGATGATCTTTTACAGATGGATGATCTGACAAAAACGAAGAGATAAAACTACTAACCTGAGAGGCATTTAAGAGAACACAGTATTGTATGGGTCCTGCAGAAGAATGTGGAATTCCGTGGGAGAGGATATGAACATGTCTTTCTCCTCACTTAGGAATTAAGCATAATTTTACATTTTAAACAGCTGACCTAACAGTGTATCACCCATTTGGCACCTTTTTACCAATCATGCTATGACAAAATACCAGGCAAAAACTATGAAAAACAGCCAAAATCCCTACATTTTAAAAGGCTTCTGAAAAGACACCAAAAGGTAGTAACTTCTGATACAATATGCATATTCATAATAAACCTGCTGGCTCACAAGAATTTGCAAACATTTTAAAATGGATTCCCTATTTGATCCTTACATCATTCTAGAGAGAAAGTGAACTAAAAAGTTGGTACAATTCAAAAACTATAGGAAACACTGATAAATATTACAGAATTTGTATAGGGATACAGTTCATTATTCAACATGCATAAAACCTGTTTTGGTGACATCATCTATAATCAATCTCAAAACTGGGAGGTCATTTCTAACATTTAAACAGTTCTCTTAGAACCTAAGAGAGGGGTGCTTAACCCGAGGACGATGAACCAGTGTTTTATCTATGAAACACTGTAGGGGGTGGGGGTGGGAGGTTCACATAGTTTGATAACTATTTCAATACTACTGATTCCTTTTTGATCCTAGGTATTTTATTTTATGCAGTTTACAACATCATTCTAAGAAGAGCTCCACAGTCTTCAACAGACAGCCAAAGGAGTCTGTGATACTGAAAGACTAAGAACCTTTGTCTTAATGGAAGATTCAAAAAACAACTTCTTCTCCCAGACCCTGTCTCAGCCTATCCAGGAGCTACCATGAATAATGTATTTTTAAAAAATAATTCAGTGCTGTGAAGATTCAATGAAACTGCTGGCATATTAAGTCTTGCAGATATTTTAAAATGAACACGAGTGAAACTTGTGGATGCTATAGCTAGAAAGGCAGTCATGAGAAACATTTTTAGAAACAGAAAATGAATCTCTTTGTCTGTCCCAAATAATTCTGCCACACAAATTTTAATGGTGAATTGTAATAATCCCAGGGCTCTGTCCTGAGCTCAGCAGTCTTTGGTCTTTACATCTTCTCTTCAGTGATCTCATCAACTCCCATGGATTGAACTATTGTCTCTGCAGATGGCTCCCAAATCTGCATATGCAGCTTTCATCTCTCTTTTGAGCTAGAGTTCTGCAATTCCATCTGTTTGCTTAAAATCTCTACCTATATGGCCCACAGACATCTCAAACTCAATATATCCATAGCAGAATTCATTTTCTCCTCACTAAATACAACCTTCTTACCTTCCTAAGTCTGTAACTCACCACTTCCCCCTACCATATCCAGAATCAGTTGTGAATCTTGTCAATTCTGCCTCCTCCATATCTCCTGCACTGGCCCACTTCTTTCTATTCACACCCCAACCCCCATAATCCAGTCTCTCATCAATTCAGCCTCTTAATCAGTATCTCTGCATTCAGTCTCTCCCTTCCACAATCCATCTTCAACAAGCTGTCAAAACGATATTCCTAAATCCAAGAACTGATCACAACACTTCTAAGAAATTCTGTGGTTTCCCATTGCCCTTTGGATACAAAACAAAATCTCTTCGTTGGGCATTCAAAGCCCTTCATAATCTAGCTACAATCTAGCTTTCCAAGCTGATTACACATTATTCTCCCATAACAACGTACTCTACAATCCAGCCAAATTGACCTACTGGCTATTCCATAATTCATCTCTCACCTCCCTATCTAGATAATTCCTATGGAGATATCCATGCTGGGCATAAGCAGGCCTCACTCTCCTACCAACAATAACCTGTGAACACTAATTGGTGTAAAAGAAATGCAGAAACACTAAGATCAGAAAAGAGGGCAGGCTAGTAATAATGAAGAATAACAGAAAGCTCATATACAATATTACACACAATTTTAAAGGCCTACAGAGGAGATAGACTATGGAATATTGAGGGGAAGAAAAGGATAAGAGTTACTGGAGAAGCCATGGATGGCTTGCAATCTGCTCCGCTGGAGGGAGCAGATGCACCAAAGTGATGGTGCATTCATTGCAATAATGACATATATGATATTCCTTGTTTGCCAGAAAGAAGAGAAACTACTTCAAAGTTAAAATGATTCATATTTTGGCTAAACGCCTGACACACGGAAAACCCATGTGACAAGGGCACAAGTCACACGCTCAATAATTAGGTTATGACCTTCCAAATCCTTAGCTTATCCCTGAGCCTACTTTTAGAATTTCCTCTCTTCTCACAGGAGTTGTGCTGACAGGAAGCATGTCAATGCTACTGCTCCAAGGCGTTTTCTACAATGATAAATACAGACTGACAGCCTTTTCTCTCAGGATATTTTTCATTTAAGCATTATTTTATAGCACAGTGCAGCGGAAACAATGCTAGATTTGCAATTAAAGGACCTGAATTTGGATTCTACCTCTCCTTACTGCCTGTACTCAAACACATGATTGATACCACAATTCCCACACAAGTAGTTTTCTTGGCTGAACAATTTGTTCATTTAACTTTTTTAAAAAACTGAGTTCCAAGTTCTTTCCCTTCCCAACCCATTGAGAAGGTAATCAATATCTATCCATTTAACTTTAAAAATAAATGTTGCATACATTGCATTGCTAAGTTACATAGAATCTAAGGTAATTAAGCACAGCATTGCAACAGCAAATGACTTAGTAATTTCAAAAACTGTGTGAAGACTCTTGTACTTTTTATATTTTTCTGGTTTTCTGGACACATACTCAATTTTTTCCCTAGCACAATGGGTAAATTTTTCTTAACTCATAAAAAACTGAAAATAATGGTGGATATAATAAAAAAAGACCTCTTATACACTGTGCAATGTAGTTCTATAGAATAAGCCAAAAGTACCCTTGGGAACAGTGCTCAAAATAACCAGCTTCCTTCCAGAATCATTTCAGAGTCTGTTTGACATGCTGAGATTAGAGACTGTGCCTCATCCTCTCTCCCTCCCTCCCTCCTGTTAACCTGGATTCAGCCCTTAAAACTCCACAGGAAAAGACAAACTCCCACAGAGGAATAGCAATCATTCAAAGAAATAATTCCAGTATATTCACAAGACATTCAAAGGGTCGGATTCAAAACAGTAATAATGAATCAATAAAAAAAAACCAAAAAAACAAAAACAAAAACCGTCAAAGGAAGAATCAATGTATATGATGCAACAGGGAATAATATCAACCATAATATTTATTCAATTAGGAACCTAATTAGTCTCATAGAGGGTGATAACAGGAGATTTAGACTGGTTTCTATTTTTTTGTGAAAAAGAAAAATGCTTAAAAGGTCAGTGATCAACATGGAAAGAATGTCATTTAAATTCAACAACAGAGGAAATTCATTAGCCAAGTACTCTACAAAGTACATGCCATCAGAGTCAATAAGAGGAATAAACTTATCCAACGTAAAATGTATCACTTCTATGGCTATTTGGTCACTTTAAGGGTCACACCACAGTAGTTATCTACTGTATGTAAAACACAGAAGGAGACGGAAAAATCATAGCAATCAATCAGCCAACATTTATTAAACCCCTACATGCCAGACCCTGCACAAAGGGTTAGGGAGGGGGGGGGGGGGGGGGGAGAACAAACACGAAACTCAAATAATCCCTGTTCTT